AAATTATAATTATGTATACTGTAACACATTGAATATTACACTATTTAATCGCGAAATTATGTGCCCACCGGAACCGTTTGTCATACCGGCAAACGAATCATTTAAAATAAGTGATTATATATATGAATCTCAAACATTAAATTTGCATACAGAGCTACATTTTGTACCGATTTGGTCATATACTATCAATCATGTGATTGATCCATATATGAGACAAACAATTAATAATAATTATTTTGCTAAATTAAATGAAAGTATTAACAAAATAAATAGTTATGACACAGTAGATAGTTATTTATACAGTACTACAGGTACTCACATTTTTATAAATTTTATTTTATTTATAATTATAATTTGTATGATTATTGCTATATTATATATTGTTTTTAGAAATAAAAAGTTTGATAATAATATTTGCAGTTATGTTAATCATACAAATGATATTGATTTACAATCAATTCAATGTACCAGTAATGAGACACAAACAGTACCTAAACTATCTAATAAACCTGAAAATAAAATTGTTGTTACTTTTGACAAATAAACAGTTATTTTTATTTTACTAATTATATTTAAGTTTGTTGTTATAGATGGCTAATTATACTAAACATACTACTGATTATAAACGTAAAATTAAACTAAAGATAATACATGAGCGCATCGATACACTGTATGATACGGCAAACAAATTGTTGGCAACTATTCATCAATCATCGGATACAACCAATACTGATGATACTGTCAACTGGGTTTCAAAACTTGAAGTTATTGAACAAACATTAAAAATGATGACAACTATGTATGGCCAACAACAGTATCAACAAACTATTGCTACCGACGCTCAATTGGACACTAAATGTGATAACACTTACACGACAACCAATTATATGCCATTAACGTCACTACAACAACAATATCCTAATTATAATCAATACAACAATTATGACTATTATAACTATTATTATTAGTTTTTTGAATATTTTGTGAATTGATTTATAAAGTAAATCAATTGAAAACTTATTGAATATTTTAGTAAAACTTGTTTTTGTAACTCTATATTATTTTTGATAATTTTGATGTTTTATAATTATATGACATATTATAGTTTTGTAACTTTATTTTTGAATTCAAATGAGTATTTGAATTGAGAGAGAGAGGATTATGTCATGATTTGAATTATTATTATTATATTTAGTTTGAAACTATATGTTTGAATGATATTTAAGTATATTGTGTTGAATATACATGTATTTGATGTATTGGCTGAAAGAGATATCTTTGAGTAGCCAATGGGCAACAAAAATAGTTTTAAGTTTTTATGACCCGACTGTCAACAGTGAGAAACTGTTGTGAGTTTATGGGGCACCGATAGTACAGTTGGAGAGCACAGTCACTCTTGGATTGGCGACCAAACTGTATAGTTATATACCATTTGTATCAATAGATAACAAATCTATTGACTATTACTTTTCAATATATCCAACCAATAAACATATTTTATTAAAACTAAAATATAGTTAATTATTAAGTGACTTCAATAAAGTACCTAGTTCACATAATAATATCCTGACAAATATTAAATAAAACCTAACAATAATAACATTATTAAAAATACTAAGAAATAATATTCAAATAATAAAACATATTTTTTATTATTACAATACTATATGAGATATTTAAAAAAAATAAATTAAATTTATTTAAAAAATATATAATTGAATGCAAAATATGTTTGCATTAAATAACAAACAAACAAAATATTGAATTATATCCATGACTTACCAATAATTTCATGGATTTATTGTCAATAATTTTTGTAAACCAATTTTGTTTGTTTGTTTGTTTAACAATAAGATTATACTTATTATTATTTTATTTTTTTGAATACAATTTTACCCATACAACATAAAAAATCAAAAAAAAAATAAAATACAAATACAAAAATAAAATAAAAATACAAAAAAACATTGCCCATAGCTAAATGTCAATTCAGTGAATAAAAATAGTTAACTAAAAAATATATTTTAATACTATTTAACAGAAAAAATAGTAAAATGTTTCCTAATATGTTTTATTTTATCATATATTTTACACAATAGTGTATTTATTAATTTATTAGATTTATTATCCAAAATTACTTAATAAAAAATATAATATTAAATATTTATACAAATAATCTGCAAACAATTTTTTTAATCATAAAAAACATATAGACAAAAAAATAAAAGTTACATATATTATAGCACTGTATATAAATATATATACTGTATATACTCTATAGCCTTAAGTAATATACAAATTTGCTATTAATTAAAACTTAAGATAATAGCTCTCTCTATCTCTCTCTCTCTCTCTCTCTCTCTCTCTCTCTCTCTCTCTCTCTCTTTCTATATATATATATATATATATATTATTTACTATACATTGAATTTTTTTGGGCACAATTTTTGTGATAAAATAATTATTTTACTGTTAATATTAGTTCAGTCAGTCAGTAGTAGTAGTAGTAGTAGTAGTAGTAGTAGTAGTAGTACTTAAAATTGTTTTTTTTGTATACCACAGCAAAAAAACATATTAAAAGTGATTAAATTTTTAATGTTATTTTTTTTAAAAAAATATCATCATAAAAATAATAATCTGTTTTTTAATATAAAAAAACTATTTAATATATTATTTTTATGTTAAAATAAATTCAATAAAATAAGTAATTTAGTTTTTTTTTGTAAGTGTGATTATAAGATAATTATATTATCTAATAATATTGAAAAAAATGTGTTACTAAAAAAAATTCAATATAAATATATGTTTAGTAAATTGTATAAATATAATATAATATAATATAAATTCAATCAAAAAAAATTTAATACATAAAAAAATAAGATTTGCATTTTAAAGGATTTACTTATTTATACACTTAAGTCACAATAAAAATTTATATAAATATACAGTATATATATCTATATATCTATATATATCAATAGATTTATAAATCTAATTTTAAACATTGTTTTTGATAAACAATTATATTTATATACATTGAAAAAAATATTGTGTATATACTGTTATAATATACTAAACAAACAAAATTAAATAAGATTTACAAAAATATAAAAATAGGTTTCATATTATAACCACAATATAGACATATCAATACATACGGTATACTTACAGTCAAATACACACAAACTATTAGATAAATTCAATACACGTTTCTTGATATTTAAAAGAAAAATAATGTAATATTTTTTTGGGCAAATTATTACCAATTTTTTTGTTGTTGTTTTGTTGATAGAAATAAAAGTTGAATAAGTTTTTTGTTTGTTTGTTGACTTAACATTTTACTTGTATTTTTTATCAAAAATATTTTTAAAGTAATATAGTTTTTTAATAATAACAAAAATATTGCATAAAAATTATATATAAATTTATTATATAATACATTATTTATTTCATTTATATTTATTACATAAAAATATTTTTATTTAATTCTATAAATAGATTCAAAATATTCATAAAATTTTTAAACTTTAAATATATGAATATTTCAAATAATTTTTTTAAAACTAAATTTTATGTGAATAATAACATATGACTAAATAATAAAAATAATTAGTATATTATTAATAATAATCATATTTAAAGCAACAAAAAAATCAATTTAATTAACTTGTAATAAGATTTGACATTGATATATATATATTATATTTACATATATTATTATATTTTACAGATATTTGTTAGATATTTAATAATTTAATAAATATTTTTTTTGTATATAAATACTACAGAATATTATTAGTATTAGCAATAAGTTTAATAAATCAAAATTTATACTTTTATATGATGTATATTATATGTCAAAATTATATATATATATTATTAATAGTTTTTAATATACAGAAAATATTTTAGATAGCAGTATAAAAAATGTTCATTTTTTTTATTTGCAAATTGTTTCAACAAATATCAATAACAATAGCTATTATATCAATAGTAAACATTACAATACATATTGAATTTTTATTGATAAAAACTATATACATAAAATAAAATTATAATTTATTGTTTTTTATATATATTGATAAATATAAAACATTTATATTTTATAAAAGAGTTACTTTTTTGAATAATCAATATAAATTTATTTTATATATATATATATTTACTAACATAATAAATATATATAAAAAACATCATATTTTTTAAAACTAATTTTAAGTACATATTATATATACAGTATATACTGATTGTATTTCAAGCATTACATGCATATAAAATACTTTAGTAATAAAAATTTTGATCATAAAATTGATTAGATTTTTGTTTGTTTGTATATATTATTATTATTATTACAGTATATATACTTTCAATTTCAATGTCTCTAATAATAATATCCAATCAATTTTATTAGTTTATATGCTATTTATATAATATATAAAAGTTATATAATAATTATGATACAAAAATAGTTTCGCCAAATAACATAATATTCATGAAATAGTTTTAATTATAATCATAATTTTTTTTAGTATATATATATATAATTTATTATATAATCAAATAATATTAGTAAATTATATTCAGTAAGAAAAAAATTTATAATTTTTCAAACATATTATTATTATTATTAAATATAATGTAAGATAAATAGAAAAAAAATGTTTTAGGATTAATATTTTATCAATAGATTCAACAAAAAATAAAATTTAATTTAAAACAGTTTATTTAGCATATATTAGATTAGAAATAATTTTGTTGTTGTCGTTGTTGTTGTTGATAATAATATTGAACATTAAATTTCAATTATAAAAGTTATTTTTAAAGACCTAAACAACAACAACAACAACAACAAAATATTAAATTGAAAAAAATGCAAAATTTGCTTATTTTCTTTAAAAAAGTAGAGATTTATTATTTCAATACTATTAGTATTTTTTACAAAAAAAATATAAATATATTTTATTTTTACATTTTTTTAAATAATAAAATTTATTTGATAGGTATGTGCCCAGCCATATGGGACGGGGCTTTATGTTGGTTTAATACATTGAACAATACAATTGCTAGACAACAATGTCCTGAATATATTGATGGCTTCAATCATAATGGTTAGTGATTTTTTTTTTGACTTATTTTTAATGTAAACAACAGTTTTGGTTATTACATGACTGTACTGTATATATATAAAATGTTTTTCTGCATTTTAATTAAAAATTTTGATTATTATTATTTGTCAAACAAACATGCAAGCTAATAAATTAAATTTGAAAAACAATTTAATTATAGGTTTATTTTGCTTGGTATACATGTTTATCATTTTATCGATTTATTTATTTGTTTATATAGTTATTTAAATCTATAATTTTTTTTTAAAGTAAGCATTTTGTCAAATAAACAATATTTTAATTAAAAATAATTTGTCATATATTTAGTGTAATTTATATAATTTAATTAAATATAAAACATATATTAAATACTATACAATATTAAAATTTAAATAATAATAATATTATTATTATTATACAACAGGCACTGCATATAAGTATTGCACAAAAAATGGTACATGGTACTTTCACGATAAAGCAAATAGTACCTGGACAAATTACACTGATTGCATTCCTAATCATCATCATTATAATAATAATAATGAATTGAGCTTAATGTTAATTGTAAGTAATGTGAATCTAGTTTTGAAATTATTTAATTTTTTAGCATGCTTAATTTAGCTAATCAAAATAAATAAAAATGTGATCTATGATAATAATTAAAAATAATTTTAAATTAATAAAAAATACAATCACTTACTTACCCCAACATTATTCACCCACTTATTATATTTATATATTTTTTTAAAAATAATAATAATTAGCCACATATTGAAAATTTTCGTATTATCTCAAAAATTGGTTACTCTGTATCGTTTGTTACACTATTGATGGCTTTCATAATATTAACATTTGTCAAGTAAGTGTCAAAATTTGAAAAATTGTTAAAATTAATTGATTTATTTTTTAAAAAAAATTATTAAAAACTTATTATTTTTTTTAAGTGTTTTAAATACTAGCATTTTTTTTGTTTGTTAAATAAATCTATTGTTTGTTTTTCTGGGGGTTTACTTTTCCCGGTAGTACTGATTAAAAAAAGGGTTGTTTTTCCCCTGGTTTTTTGGAAACAAAATATTTTTTTCATTTATTTAATTACCAGATCTTATTGCAGGCGTTTGCGATGTCCGCGAAATAATCTACATTTACAGGTAATAAATAAATATATAAACTTTTAATTAAATATTTGTAATTTAAATTTAATTAAAAAATATTTACTATAATTTTAAAGAAATATATATTAATAATATTTGTTTGACTATTATATATATATATATATAATTTTTTATATATATATATTTAGCTATTTATGTCATTCATGATCCGGTCGTTTATGTTTTTGACAAAATCATCAGTTGATTCAAACCGTTCCCAACAAAACTGGTTGTCCTTATTATCGCAAACCGATACCAGCCTATCGTTTGTGGCCAACAATTCAACCATCACTGATGATAATAATAATAATAATAATAATAATAATAATAATAATTCGGTAAATATTTTTTTGTAAAAAAAAATTTATTTTTGTTTAATTTTTAAATTTAAATTTTTTATTTTATCATTTTTGTTGTTTGAATTATACTTTATATTATACTTAAAAATAGTTTTTTAACTTAAATACATATTTAAAGTACTCTATATAAATTTTTACATAATAATAATAATAATAATAAATTATTTTAAAAATGATATTTTTAAAAATTATTGTCAATTATACAAATATATATATAAAATAACTGCAAACAAACCAACGAAAATAAATAGATAATATATTTTATTTTTTTAATAATAATAATAATAATGGAAACAAAAATAATAACTAATTGTAGTTTTTGTGTAAAATAATAGTTTAAGACAATGACAACAATAACAACAAAATTATTTTATTTAATACAAATTTGATAGAAAATGTCATGAATTCATGCATTAAAATAACAATAAATATCATATGGTATATAAATTATTAAGATACAGTATATATACACTTATATATATATATATTGATAGATTTTATATACAGTATTAATATATACACACATTATAATTTATTTTGTTTTATTATTTTTTGTTCAAAAAAAAATCTGCTTAGTGTCTAAAATATATAATATTTCTATATTGATAGACAAAGAAACTATATACATATATATAATATATATATATAATATATACTGTATTTTACTATAGTATATATACACAGTATACTTATATATAAACAGTATACTGTATATTGGCTAATAGCCCATTACATTAAGCAAAAAAAATACAAATAATATTATTTATTTTTTTTTTGGTGATATATTATTATCATAATATTTTATGTGTGACGGGGTATTAGTGGTCAGTGATCTAATATACACACATTTATGTCAGTAATCTTATATGTATATATACAGTACAGTATATATATATTTATATATATGTATGTAAATATGTATATATCTATATATTTGGTGCTAAACTATACAGACAGTTACCGCTGCTGATGGAGTAATGGATTTGTTGGGTTGAAATGTGTTTGGGTATCATATTTAGACACATTATCACTACAACAACAACAATATATATATAGTATATTACAGTAGTTTTTGTTGTTGTTGTTGTTGTTGTTATTGTTGTATTTTATTTATACAATATATATATATATATATATATATATAAAATAGCCAAAAAATATAAAGCAATAGTATTTTTTATATCATAAATATACATACATATAATATTATTATTATTATTGATATATACCGCATATGTATTATATATATTTTTTTGGAGAGTATTATCGTTTACTGTCCCTTACTATTTATTTTTATATATTTTTTTTATTTATTTATTTTTTGTTACTATACTTATATTATGATTGACTAAATAAAATCAAAAAACTTATATGTATACAAGTACAGTATATACTGTATATGATAACAAATATATTATTACAATATATATACAGTATATGTATGTTCAATAAACATATATTATTTACTTAATATTGGTTTTTCAACAAAAATTTCAAAATATTTAGATCAATCATAGTTTGTTAAATCAATAGATTTTATTTTACATTAATCATTATTTTATTTATATTTATATATATAGAAAAATATTTATATAAAGTTTACTTAATATATTAATTCAATAACTGTTTTTGACTAAATTGGTTGATACCTATTTATATTATTATTATTATTAAAACAACATCAAATATATTAATTATTTTATAATAAATTATACTGTATTAATTAAAAACAGCAATAATTTAATAAAAAAATAAAAAAAATAGATAATTAATATAATTTAGTTACAATATTTTTTATAAAAATAAAAATATAATATATTATAGAATAATTAATTTTAGTATACTATATAATAATCTCAATATATATATATAACATATTTTATATTATTATTATTATTTAAAAATTCTATATTCTGTGTATATTATTATTAATAGTTTTTATTTTTTTTTGTTTTTTTAAAATTTTATTTTTAATAAATTTTAAAGGCATTTTCATGTAAACTATTTACAACTATATGGCATTATTCATTGGTAGCCAATTATAACTGGATACTTATGGAAGGACTATATTTACATAATTTAATATTTTTGCACATTTTTAACGATAATTCAAGCATAAGAAAATACATTATAATTGGATGGGGTATTTATTATTTATTTATTTATTATTTATTTAAATACTTAATTAAAAAAATCATAATTGATTAATTGATTAATTAGTTAATTAATTAAATTTTTTTAAATATTATAAACAAATTTTTCTATAATATAGATATAGTCTTAATAACTAAATAAAAAAAAAATTTTTTTTGCTAAGTAATTCAATTTAAATTTAATTTATTTAAATTATTAATTACTACCATAATAGGTTTGCCTGTATTATTCATAATTCTCTGGGTAATTACGAGAGCTTTATACGAGGATACATTGTAAGTGGTTTTCAATAAAAAATAAATAAATATTTATTAACAAAATAATATATTTAATTTTTTGTATTCGTGTAATAACAATTAATTAATTAATTAAACTTATTGTCAAATTATGTTAATTTATATTTCTGAAATTTATTACATTAGTTATTAAATTTAATGGCTATAAATAACAACATACAGTACATAAATATGATATATAAATAAATATATATATAGTTAAATTTGTTTTGTTTTTTATTTATTATTTGAAATACGAGAATATTTTCTTAGACATTATAACAATAATAATTTTTTATTATTATTAAATTTATAACAATAATAATAATAACATAAAATTTATTTTTTAACTAAAAAACAGTTTTATTTTACATACATTGATGTATATGAAAATACATTGTTTTTTTTATAAGCAATTTAATGTTTATTATTATTATTATTTTTATATTTATTTTTTGTTATACTATAGATGTTGGACTACCAATGAAGTTATGAAAATATTTTGGATAATAAGAGGTCCTATTACTGCCACAATAATAGTAACTATAATATATTTTTTATGTATATATTTATTTATATAGTTTATAACTATTTATTTTATTATTATTATTATTGTTATATATATTTTTTAGTTATTATTTTTAATAATAATAATCATAATAATAACAATATTATTAAACAAAAAAATTTTTTTTTGTTTCTTGACTCTACTGTACTTAAATTTATTTTTTTTGTTGATGCTATAAGTAATCTCTGGATAATAATAAAAATATTTATAAACTTTTTTTTATTTGTATATACGATATTCAATATTACATATAAACATTCAATATTTTTTTTTATTGTTATCACATAAGTATTATATAATTTATAATAGATATACAGTATATTATTTTATGAATTTGTATATATATTTTTAAATATGTTGTTTTGTGCTTATATTATATATATATACAGTTTATTATAGATAATAAGTTTAAATATTTTTTACATATATAATACAACAACAATAATTATCACTAAAATAAATATAAAAATATAGATTATATATATATATATATATATAAATATACTAAATTGATGGAAATGTTTTTTTCTATAAAAAATAATAATATAAATCCTAAAAATAAAAATAATAATAATATCATTAGATTGGATAGTAATTGAAAATAACTGTTAAGTGTCAATACAATTTAATAAACTCAGTTATACTTTATAAATATACTGTAAATATTATGACAATAATAGTTTGAGACAACAATACTATTTTTAGGATATAAATAGCTAAAAAAATAAATAAATAAATATATTGTGTAATAATAAGTGTCTAGAAATATATATATATTTACTGTATATAATCATAGTATCAAACTTTATTGTCAAAACTAACTTATTATCTAAAATAATAATAATAATAATAATTATTATTATTATTATACGGTATATAAAGTTAATACAAGTATAATATACTGTATAAGTAATATTCCACTCCATAAGTATAGATAAATTTTTTTATTTATTTTTTACTTTTTTTTTAATTATTATTTGTTTTTGTTTTTTTCAGCTAAACTTTATATTCTTCATTAATATCACTCGTGTACTGTTCCTGAAGATGTTTTCGTCATCGGCGGTCAATACGGTTCGCCAATACAAGTATAGGACATGGTTTAAGTCGACATTTATTTTGGTCCCATTGTTTGGCGTTCACTATATGTTTCTATTAGTATTCAATTCACTGTCGGCCCTATCCTACGATATCATTGAGATTATATGGCTTTACATTGATCTACTGTTTTCATCATTTCAGGTAATTTTTTGTTTTGTTTTATTATATTGTATTTATATACTGTATATATATATATATAGTGCCTAAATAATAATAATAATAATTTATTATTATTTTATATTATTAATATTATTACTGTTGTTAATACAGTATTATCATTAGACTACTGCCACTTAATAAACTTTATTATTAATTTTTTGTTTTGTTTATATGATATATCATATCATTAGAGAGAAAAAGTTATTCAATATTTTATTTTATTTTTGGGTATAATATATCTCCTAATAATACTCTAATATATTGAGTTAAATATAAAGTTTTCTCTAATACAGTATTCTGTATATAAAGTTATATATATTATATATATATTAATATGTTATTTATAGAGACATAATTGTCACTATCATATTGTAATTATTATTATCATTAAAATAATAAATCACTAAAAGATTAAAATAGTTATTCAATAGTTATGTTTAATAATATAATACTAATTAGTGGATAAATATTTTTTTAAAAAAATTATTAGTTAAAATAATAAGTTATTTACAATGAAATGCTAATTAATAGTTTTAAAATAGATAATAAAATATATATTTATTTGAAAAAAATAATATATCATTAAATATGTATAAATAGTATTTAAAAATTTAATTAAAATAATAATTTTTAAATTTTATAACTAATATAATAAAATAATTACTTGTTATTATAATTAATATCTACTATTTATATTATAAAAAACAATATAATTTACTTAATAATAAACATTTTAATGATATACTAATATAAATAATAAATTTTTGTTTTTATATAAAATAGATAATTGAATCATATATAATAAATGTTTATTAGTTTTTTAAATAATAAAAAATATATTTATTTATAATTTAATTATATCAAAAATTTCAAGTATATCATAGAAATTTTAATTTTCTTTTTTAAAAAACACATATAAAAATTTAAACGATAATAAAATTAAAACAAAACAAAAAGTTAATAATACTTATTTTAAAAAACCATTAATAAATTTTTAATGGAGATAAAGCATATGATATTTATATACAGAATATACTATATATATATTCTGTATATATATTCTGTATATATATATGGTATATATTGTTAATATATATATATTTAACACATGATAAGCACGTAAATGATAAATATAGCAAATTTTAATATAATATATTTATAAAAAAAAATTAAAAATATTGTAGATATGTAGGAGTATATATATATATATATATATATATATATATATATATATATATATATATATATATATATATATATATATATATAATGTGTGTAAAAATAATTTACTTAACATAAAAAATCTAAATATACTTTAGTATCATACATATATATTAAAAGTTAATATAAAAATATTGGATAATAAAAATAAAAAATACTAAACTAAAAATAAATTATTATATATATATATATATACTGTATATTATATCATATAAAAAGGCTAAAAATAAAACATATAATAATAATAAAATATGTAGTAATTATGATAAATACTAGAATACATTAACCAAACATAAAAAAAATTGTTATATTATTTCCCTTATATTTTTTATTATCATATAAATTGTATTAAAATATTTTTTTAGGGATTTTTTGTGGCACTTCTATACTGTTTTTTCAACGGCGAAGTCCAGGTAGAGCTACATAAGCTGTGGAAAACATGGAATCCGTGCGATAACCGCAAGTGGCCGGCATCGGGATCGGGATACCAGTCCAACAACAACCATACCAACAACAATAGCCACTCGACAGCAACACATATGTCGTATCTGACCCAATCGTTAAGCTATTTTAGTCGGGCCGGCGGCCGAAACTCGTGTTTCTCGACAGTGGCCGTCGACCAGAACGGAGCAGCAGTGGTTACGACAACACAATCGGGCGGATCGTCGCCGACAATATCCCGAAAATTGAGGCCATCGTTTGAGGCCATTCAGCTCAATGAGTCTCAACAGCAGCAGCTCAGGGATGTGAAAACTACTACTACAACTACTACTAGTACTACTGTTACTACCGATACTGTAGTTATTAGGACTGACAGCGATATGAATAATTCAATGGTTATTGTTTATAATAATAATAACAACAACAACAACAAACTGAATCTCAATAATAATAATTTCAATAATAATATTAATAATAATAATAATCTAAATGATAATAATAATGAAGAATCTATTATGTAATCCAACAACAAATATAAATTATATTAATATATAACTATATATTGAATACAAAATGAAAATGTATTACATATTCATTTTGCTTATATGTATTAGCATTTCCTGAATGTGTTTTTTCTTCCCTTAATATATTGTATATATAAGTATTTTGATTAATATTATTATTATTATTAGTATTATTTAATTTCCCAATTTATCAATCGTCCATTTAGTGAGAAATAAATAATTGAATCATCAATTTATTGATGAAATTCCCCCCCCCTAATAATGTAAATCATTAAAAATAATTAAATGATCAAAAAATAAATAAAAGTGTTTATGAATATTTAAAAAAATAATTTTAAATAGTTAAATAATTTTTTCTTAAATCTAATATATATTTAATACTAATATTTAATATATAAAAAAAATATATAAATTGTATTTTCTTGTAAATTGAAAGTATTTATTATGTCATATAATATAGTGTTTTATTAGTATATAATAATAATAATAATAATAATATGAATCTCATTATTGTCTTTTAATTTATTACATTATATGTCACTATTATTATTAGTCATAATTATTATTTAAAAAAATAACTTTTAATTGCTTTTACATCCCGTCAAAAAATAAAATCACAATTTTCACATTTAGATATATTAAAACATATTTTATATAAATTATTATTTAAATGTATTTTTCTAGTCTAACTGAATCTTACTATAAAAAAAATTGTCATTTTTTTAAACGAAAATAATTAATATTACATTTTCACTAATGATAACTAATAATTGTATATAACTTTGTTTTTTTTGGTTGTTGTTGTTATTATTATTATTGTAAAAATAGTTTTTAATTTAAATTATTAGTTTTAATTATTTTTTTAAAAAATAATTATCATGTTGACCAATGTACTATTTTTATTATTATAAAAAATATAACTACTAAATATTAAAACTACTTTTTTAAAATTTAATTTAAATATATATATAATAATATATTTATTTATATTTATCGTTAATAATTTTACAAATGTAATAAATATTTTCATTATTATTTATTTAATCAATAATATACTTACTGTAAGTAAATAAATAATTTATATAAAAAATATATTATTAATTGTATTTTGATATCTTAATAACATATTACTACTAATAATAATAATACTAATTATTATATTGATAATAATAATACATGGAAAATATTTCAATAATCAATCAAATTTATTTTATATTTAATATTTATTATATTGATATTATTATTAATATATTAATTAAATACAATTGCTATTGCAATCAAATATATATATATATATATATATATATATATATATATATATAATTCAAGTACAATAAAATAATTGAACCAAAAAAAACAAAAGTTTATACAATATTTTTATAGTTATAATACTAATAATAATAATACTTAATATTAATATATAAGTATACTAATAGTTACAATTTAGTTATTATTATATTGTACTTATAATATAACATTAGTTTTATATTTTATAACAAACTTATTACAACAACAAAAAAGTTTACAAAATAACAAACTAACTAAACATATTGTATATATTTATATAATAATCAAATATCCTGTAATTTATTTTGTTTGTTTGTTATTTTTTATCATAAAAATTTCTAATACTACTTATATATATATACAGTATATTGTCTCTATTGTATATACTTATTAAAAAAAGTATCATTAAAAAGTAAAATAAAAAAACAACTACATTTAAATAACATAATAAAAATCATTGAATATATTATTTTTAATATAAAAAAAAAATTAGTGTCATTGATATATTCAATAGACCCCCACTAATACTACTATAATACTGTAATAATAATTGGTAGGCAATCATAGTAACACATCCTCTTTCAATGTTAATCATCAGCAAAAATAAAAATAAAATCATAAAAAACAGCTAAACAGCAAAAATCAATTCAATGATTTATGAATTAATATATAAAACATATAACTAAACAATATATATATATATATACATACTGTATATTACAGTATAATATATATATAATTATAAACTAATAAACTTAATAATCATAAGAATCATTAAAAAAAAATAATAATATGAAAATAATAATAATTTAATAATAATTATAAATTTAAATTTTTAATGTTACTATAAGTACAGTATATGTATATTATAACTTATATATGATATATTAGTGTATATATATTATATATTAATATAATACTGTATATATATTTATACTTATAATAATACTGTATATACTTATAATATAACAGTACTTATAATATACAGTATTCAATGCAAACGTTTTGTATGACATAAACTATAATAATATTACATTATATTTACTGTTATACAGTGTATACTAATAGCTTGAATGACAACATCAACACAAATACAACAATAAATATTGTATTAATAATAATAATAACTAATAACTAATAATACAAATACTTTATATACAAATATAAACCCAATGTATAGCCAATTGATTTGAAAAATCTATGGATCAAACACTAGTTGATGACAACTATTGGTTCATTCAATTGGCGACCAATTTATTAAGTTATTCACTAATATTATTACCGTCGGCACTGTTGGTCTATTTGGTCAACAATGGTCTATGTCATCGATCGGGTAATTATTTTTTTAAATACAAATCAATCAAACATATCATATGCTAAACAATATCTCTCTCTCTCTCTCTCTCGGCTACCGATAATTATCTCGCCGATAGTCAGCGACAACTATTTGGTCAAATTGTTTGTCTACGGCGGCAGCGGCGGCGGCGGGACCACCAATAAGGACATCCACAACAATATCATCGGCGATAACGATGACGACGATAATGACAGACTATTGCCCGTAACTATCGATACGGCCGTCAATAATGGTCGTCAACAGCAAAACAAATTGACCAAATGGTGGTCACAGTTTGGCGGCCGACGGGCAACACTTATGCTCTACTGTTTCGCTGGTCTTCAGGTTTCGTATCTCAGTTGGGGTTTACTTCAGGAGAAGATAATGACCACTGAATACACGTTTCACTACAATATATTGAGTATTTAAAACAAACAAACAATTAATTAATTATTATTATTATTAAAAATCTCATCTATGGTTGTACTTTGATGTAGATGTAGATGACATTAATCATCCGTCAAATAGTGGACTAAATCCAACCATCAAATCATCGACATATCACCAGAAGTTTACAAACTCACAGTTTCTTGTATTAGTCAATAGGGTTCTGGCATTTATTATAGCATTTGTGGCGTTAAATATCAGACAACGGTCCCCAACTAATAGGTCCCGATATGGTGGCGGTCAGCCACCGCTTCATCAATATATCTACTGTTCCCTATCAAACATATTGAGCAGTTGGTGTCAGTACGAGGCACTCAAGTTTGTCAGTTTTCCCACTCAGGTATGTCTACTGTACTGTACTTTCCCTGATAGTGGAGTTTTATGAGAGAGAGAGAGAGAGAGACATTACCGTAACTTTTATTGACTATTTTTTTCTACACATACAGGTGCTGTCCAAGGCCTGTAAGATAATGCCAGTGATGCTGATGTCGCAGCTGATTGGCGGCAAAAAGTATCGTACAGTCGAGTACTTGTTCGCCATTTCCATATCGTTTGGTATGACATTGTTTCTATGGACCGATCGATCGGCTAACGCATCGCACGCCGCCGCCGCCGCACACCACTCATCTGCGGATGCAGCGCCATTGGCCAGTGAATCGGGTTCGGGTCAGCAATACTATGGCGGTCTATTGATACTAATATTGTATCTGACATTCGACTCTTTTACATCCAACTGGCAGACCGTCCTATTCGACAAATACAAGATGTCTACACTGCATATGATGGCCGGCGTTAACTTCTTTTCAATACTGTTAACATCGACGTCACTACTAGAACAGGGAGATCTCGGACCAGCCTTCCAGATGGTCGTCAACAATACCAGTCTGCTAACCGATTGTCTACTATTATCAATGTTTTCGGCTGCCGGCCAACTGTTTGTCTTCTATACGATTTCGACATTCGGTGCACTAGTATTTGTTACTATTATGACACTCAGACAGGCCATAGCCATACTATTATCCTGTATAGTCTACAATCATTCACTGGCACCTGTAGGTCTCATTGGTATTATTATTGTTTTTGCCACACTTTTTACGCAAATCTATTGGAAATCCAAATCAAAAGGCAAAAGATGATTATATAAAACAATACAATAATCAATACATTATTTTTTATCATTAAAAAAATGTGTGATTTTTGTTGTGATTAACTAATTAATTAATTAATTAATTAATTAAGATCTGATTTACTGGTACTGGATTTTACCGAAGTTAACCAACTATTTACCGGTACTACTATTTATTGTTATAAACCGTATTATTATTAAACAGTTGTAAAATGATATACAAAAATAATTTTATCATAAATTTTGTTTTTTTTAGTTGTTAAATATTTATACAGTATATTATAATAATGTTTTAATTGCATATAACTTGCAATTATTTATATATATATGTAATTTAATATTTTTATTTTTCAAGTTATACTTGTTGTATAAATTTTTATATCAAATTGTTTATATAACATATATATATATACAAATATTTTAGTAATTTAGAAAATTTTATATAAATTTTTTAAAAACATAATATTTTTCATAACATTTATATAATATAATCAAGTTATAATTATTTATTTAAATATTTATTTTTTAATAATTTATAAATATTATTATTATTATTATTCATAATTATTATTATACAGTAGAATGCATTTTAATATAAACATTATTATTATTATTATTATTAATAATTATTTATTTGATTTATTTAAATAGTCTAATACATAGTATTGACAATTTGACTCATTTTTTTAAAATACATAAAATAAATTTTTAAATTTTTTTTATATACAAACAAATACAATAATAATAATAATAAAACTATTAAATTTTGATTTGATTTTATTTATAATAATAATAATAATAATTATTATTATTTAGTTATAATGAGGTTTTGGTCCGAAAAGTTTTTTTCTTCTTTTCAATACGTCTTCAGTGGCATTCAATAGTTGTTGTTTTGATTTCATTTGATTGACAGCAATAACATGATTGATATTATCATCATTGGATCCACGATTACTATCTGGGTTGTCATCATCATTATCATCATCAGCAGCAGTACCAGTAGTGGTGGTCACCACTGTATGACTGGTATTATAATTGCAATGACTGTCCACCTCCTCCTCCTCCTCTTCCTTCTTCTCCTTTCGTTGTCGATAACTGTTCATCTTTTGGTCATTTTTTCGGGTAATATATTTCCATACAATAAGACAATAGCCGATAATTATAATACTTATTAGTATTATTAAATACATTTAAGCCGTAAGTGTTGTACTAATAAAGGATAAAATTGTATTATTTTTTTTTTGTTGCAATTAAATCGGATTTAATATAATATATAAATTAATAATAATTTCGTATATATTATATACAGTATATATATATATATATATATATATAACAATAACCGGCAAAAATTGTTGTTTGAATTATTAACTTATTAATATACCAGTAATTAATGTATTGGTATATATATGTTTAAATATATATAAATATAAACTTGAATATATGATGATAAGTTTATTTATTTTTTTAATTAATTAATTAAAAAACAATATAAAGTCATACTGTATACATTTATTTGTATGATGGACTATAATATTCATAGGGCACCGTTAGGTATTGATTCAACCCCCACCCCACCCCACCCGATAACATATATATGTCTGTGTGTGTGTGTGTGTGTGTTTATGACACACTTGTAATTTAACTTGACGTCCAATTAGCTTATGTATGTCCTATTAGTCCCAAAATACTAATATACAGTATATACTGTATATACTGTATATATCCCGGGATTATGTATAGTATAAAATGTTATTGACTTTAATTTTGTTTCATCTCAATAAAAATCACTACAACAACTACTACTACTACAGTACTTAATCATGCAATTAGTTATTTTACAACAACAACAAAAAATAAATTAATACTCATTAATCATTTACCAATTTGTTGTCAATTACCAAATTAGTTTTATTGAACTTTTTTTAAATAGTTTTTTTTGTTTGTTCAATACTTATGTCCCAATTTTTTTTTGGTAATTTTAATTTTATAAAACTGATAAACTGTTTGGTTATAGTTTTTTTAATGGGTTTATTTAGACAAACAGTTAACTATCTAACAGTATAGTTGATATAATAGTTTGAATTAAGTAATACCTCTTTATATATATAATTTATCTTGATAATTTTTCAGATTATTATTAATTTTCCAATATATATAAATATATATAGTATTTATAATTATAAACTATATATAAAATTTTTGAAACAAGAATATTCTGTGAGTAAAAAAAACATTATAATAATTATTCTAATATAGAAAATGTATTTTTTAATAAAATTTGTTTATTAATAGATATATAATTGAAATTAAAATTATTATTATTTTTTTTAGAAATGACTAAAATGACAAACATTTCGTTGTTTAAAATTATAATTATGTTTATTATAATATTAATAATAATTGTCGACAAATCAATTGGTAATCAATTTTATCCAAACACTCGTTATGGTAAGCGATCTATTCATACTAGAAATTCATTGAACTATTTGATCGAAACTAAACCGAAACCAAAATCGTTGTGTAAGTATTTCTATAAATTATTAAAAAAATAATATTTTTTCAAAATTAATTAAAAATTAATCTATTTTTCAACAACAAAAAAAACAAACAAAATCTTTAGACGATATTATATTGAATAGTAAAACAAAACGATTTATCGACAATAATCTTGATTTAAATCTAGTCTGCAGTCATACACATGGCGTACATTATAAATGTCTTCTACAGGAAAGTGATTGATTGAAATTAAGAAAAAAAAATTTGATTAAAAATTTGATTAATTACTTAACTATTAAATTAAATAATAATAAATTATGGCAGCAATTGTCATAATTTTTAAAAAAATATATATATATATCATATATAAAAGATTTTAATTATTATAAAATAAAAATTTTATGATTCATACATATCTCTAATGATAATAATTTAATGTATTTTTTTGTTTGTTTGAATTAATATATATTATTATATGAAAATTGTTTTACAACTATATAATTAACTATATAAACATTAATTAAATTACTGTACAAAACAATTATTTAATAGTTAAAAATAATAATAAAATTATTGTACAAAAAAATATATGGATTTAATTAATTAAACAACAATTGATTTCTTGAGTATAAGTGCAGTCACTTGAGAGCCACTGCGGCCGCCAAAAGTGATGGTCGGCGTCGGTATTTCGTCGACCAATCGGAAGCAATACTGGTTGTTGTGGTCAACACTACCGCCGCCGCCGCCGCCGCCACTGTCATCGACGACCCGTAAATCACGTATTAATTCAGTTTTCGTAAAATTACACGACATTATGATGAATACGGACTCCGAGGTCATCAGATTCTGGAGAAAACATCGATACTTATGGCGAATGTCGTCCAATTGGACGCCAGGCTGAAGACATACGGCATCATAGGTTCCCTTATCTACCAGACAGTCAAACGTCTGGCCAATTAAACAACTGTTAGCCGATCGTCGGCTACTGTTGTCATTGTCATTGTCGCCGAGTATATCGTACACTTCAAAACAAATGTCGGCCACTTTATTGGCCAGTTCGTTGGCCGCAAGTAGTCGTCGGCACAAATCTATGGACGTCGACGAGTAATCAATACCGACCAGTCGTCTGTAGCCATGTTTGGCCAACTCTAGCAACATATAGCCATTACCGCAGCCAATGTCCAATATTTTTGATTGTTGTTTGTTGTCGTCATCGGTAGTGGTCAGGTGTCGGCAAATCCATTGGACAATTCGTTGGTTATTCTTGCGGCCGAACCAGACATCACCGGAATCTTCAAATTCTTCAAAGTTTTTCAACTCTCGTTCGTACCATTCATTCCAGTAGTCTTTCGTACCGATAACTGATCCACTGATGGTGTCTTCATCGCTACCACTACTACTCATGACTGAAAACACGTGTCCACAAACAAAAAACACGTGTAAAATATAAACACAATTTGTTGTATTTGTTTTGAAATTTTTTTTTATAATTAAAAAAAAGTATTATTTAAATAATAAAATCGTATAATTTATGTAAAAATTTTGTTCAATTAGTTCAATAGGATTTCAATGTAGTAGTTCTACACATAAAAAAATAAATCATATATTACTGTATTAGTATTTATTATAAATGTGTAAAACATATGACTTTATTTATTTTGTGTGTGAATAGAGTTGTTAATCGAAACATTTTTTTTTTGAAAAAAAATTATTGAACCAAAACCGCAAACGTATAGTACAGTAGTTTAATACTGCATCCATTGAAACACTTTAGATTTATTTTTAAAAAATTAATTTTTTTTTAATTTTATCGTCAACTTTGTAAAGGATATATATATATACATATATAGATTTAAATTAATATTAATGTTTTAAACTTTTTTTTATATATTTAAACAAAACATTCAAAGTTATACACATTTATTTCCCGCTATTTTTTACTGCTACCATACAGTGAGTGTGTGTGAGATGGGGGTCGGGGGGGGGGGTTATGGGGTACACACAAAACGGTTGGATATAAATACCCCGAAATCGTTAATCTATTTAAAAAAAAAACAGTTTATTTAAAATTTTAATTTCATTAAACCGTAACCAAACCGTATTCACTACTCTATTGGTTTATCTAACTATAGTCGTAGACATCGACAGTAGTTTTGGTTTCAAAGAGAGAGATATCACCGCATAATTTGATCCACAAATCACTTGTTGTTGTTATTGTTGTGTATATCATCTCTACCACCAATAAAAAAATGTCTTCACCGTCATTGCCATCGGATGTCGACTGTCTGGTCATCGATTCGGGAAATTTGTTGACACTGGCGGACATCAAACGCAAGGTATCCATACTTCCCAACGAAGAGGTATATCATTGAAAAAACCATTGGAAGTGATTATAAACTAAAATTGATTGATCGGAACAGTTGGCCAACGGTATGCTACGAGTGGTCAACAAATGGCAACAATCATCGGGAGCCAGAATATCGGGCCGGACAGCATTTGTGGCCGATGACAGTAATCAGGCAAACAGTTTGCTACTGTCCGCCGATAGACAGTCCTATCGGATAACTGTCAAACTGTTTGTCTTTGACGATGTCTGTTGCGGCGGTTGTGGCGGCGGCGGCGGCACTACTACTGCCGATTGTCCGTCATTGGCCAACGGCGTCGACATAGTTCTCGATCAGTTAAAGATCGCGGCAATCGATTCGCTGATCCTATCGCTGCCGAATCGGTCGACAAAACTATCGTTGGACGACATCAAACCGTTCTGGAGTTGTGCCGAAACATTCCTCCGCGACGGCCGTACGGCACAGTTAGGTATTAGCGATATGGATACCAATCAATTGAAACAACTGTACGAATGGTCAGCTAATAAGCCATCGACTAATCACATCAATCTCGACGCCTGTTGTGTAATACCCGAAGATATGAGTGCTTTTGCCAAACAAAATAACATACAATTGCTAACACATAACGACCCGAAAGGTATACATAAATCCATTGATTCAATAATTATTGTGATATTTACCGCTAATTAACCGTTGTTTTCGTTGTTTAGACTTTTTACCCGAAGAACGATTCCGTGAGATAGTTGCCGGCATTGTCGGCGACGCTGATGACGGTTGCCATCAATGGCGGCGCCAGTGGATCGCCAGATATTCAATTATTGTGTCCGGTAAGGGTATACTACAGAATAAGGGCTATATATTGGCCGCAAAACGGTGTCCGCAGTAAAAAAAATTATCCAATATTTTATATATACACGCAATGGCAAAAACGCTCAGCAATTTTATTATTATTATTGTTACCTATTGTTACAATTTTTTGTTATTATTTTTTAAAAGATAATTATTAGTTAAAATAGTTATAATATAAATGTATTTTTTTTAAATGTTGTTTTTTTTAATTATCTAATTGTTAGCTGATTTAACCGTAAGCAAGCATTTTATATCTATAATCATAATAGAGATACAGTATATAAATAGTAAAAATATTATTATTTTTTAAAATCACTAAATGATATATAAATTAGTTTTTTAATCATATTTTTAACTCATTATTAACTATATATATATATATATATATATATGTTTGTTATTATTTAAGTAAACCTACGATTTTACCGTAATTATAGTTAATTGAATGAAACAAAAATGATATTATTATTATTAATATAAAAAATCAAAACAAAAAAATTATTTTTTAAAACAAAAATATATATCTATTTATAATATAAAAAAATGTAAAAAAAACTATTTTTTTCTCTCTCTTATTGTGTGTAAGTGTTTGTGTGTCTCTTTAAATCTCTTCGTAAAACTTTGTCTCCCGACTCACTTCCGGTCCTAAAAACTCTTCGAGACGGCGCTGTTCATCATCGGCGGCGGCGACATCATCATTGTTGCCATCGACGACATCACTGGAGGCCAACTTTTTCTTCGACTTTGTCGTCGACGAAGACTTTTTCTTTGTCTTTGATTTTGTTTTACCGGTACTTTGTTTTCTATGATTCGATGACTTGTTGGTAGTCACTGAACCCGATTCGCTGCCAATTTCCGATGTGTCGGCACTGGTGGTGGTAGTAGTAGTAGTCGAGGTTAACGTTGTTGATGTGCTGCTGACATCGCCACCATTAGTGGCCGCCACTATTGATGGTCTATAATGATGATTGTCACTGTTGTTTGGTTCACTACTATTCAGTGCACTTATCGGAAATATCGACTGCTGTTGTTTACTGGTGGACACAATTGGTGTCCGATTTTTTTTCTTATCAACAGTTTTAGTAGTATTAGTATTATCAAAGTCATTGTTGTTGACAATCAGTTGCTGTTTGTTGGCTTCTAGTAGATCAGCGACAGTAGAAACGGCAGTAAATTCATTGTCGGCGGCGGCAGTTGTCATCATCGGCAGCTGATCTTCAGGATCTAATTCTTCCTGATATTTGGCTACCATTGGATTGTTTGCTGATAATTCGTTATCACTATAATAATAATAAAACAATTTCAATACAATATTTTGATTTTTTTTCAGATAAATACCTATCACTTTCATCGTAATTATTAACATCATTGGCGGTGGCGTTGTTGATGGCATTGAGTGGTTCGTCAAGAAACTGTCTGAACGATGTCTTTTCGTCGTCGGGAACAAAGTCATCGACATTATTGACAATTGATTTAGTATTACCGCTACCGCCGCCACCGATATTAATAATTGACTGACTATTACTACTATTAGTTTTATTGGGATTATTATTAGTAGTATTTTGATTGTTTGCTACAGACTTTTGCATCAATGATGAAGAGTTTAAGTTAGTATTTGCCGAAAATTTAGGCGGAAGTGGATTATTGGCGCCAATTATAATACTGGGCGACGGCTTATTAACCATCGGCTCATTAGTATTACCGATATTACTATGATTGCCGGCACTACTAATTGCCAATGCTTTCTGTGCCAAACTCGATGGCATGGATTTACTTCGGGACGGCGGTTGCTGTGATGGCAACGACGGCAAACCGTTTTGCGAATCCGTAACTTTATTGGACATCTGATCGGCAATTCTTCGCCTCCGATTAGTCAACAATTCTAAAAATAGATCATAGTTTTGGTCATCCGATTCTTGCAATGAATCCAATTCGTCGCTAGTGGTCTGCATTTCGCCTAAATTTGTCTCCAATTGTCCTAACAATGTCTGACGTTGCAGATGAAGAAATGGTAGATTGAAAAACTTATGCAAATATTTCAGACCGAATCCGTTACGCATCGACGACTCCGAGTATCTAATCTGTCGGTCGATGTTATTGTCGTTGCCGTCGTCAGCGATAACACTATCGATGAACGACCGGACCTGATCTTCCGAAACGCACCGATGATGACCCATATCGCGATGATTGGCCAAAACAAGGACAGGTATTTGTTTGGGTATTCTGTCCAACTCTTTCTGAATGTACTCGAATGTCCATTGTTTGGTCATATCCATTACCAATATAACACCATTGGTTCCCTTATAGACATCGACAAACTCGGCATCAAGACATGGCTGCTGGTCATCGTCGACAGCGTTAGAGGCGGCGGCGACTGAGTTGTTAACTACAGATTTGTTATCCAATTTCAATGAATCCAAATTCTTCTTCTTTTTCTTTCCTTTGTCCACTACATCCCAGATCTCTACTTTGACCACATCGTCGGTTGCCTTATAGTTCCACTGAATACTTGCCACCTAATCGATTGGATCAGATGACCATCAAAATTATCATCATATATATATATATAATATACCTGTATTTCATCGGTGGGTACGTAATCGTCTTTGAACTGAAGTCCCTGTAATCGCAAGAATAGCGATGTTTTGCCGACATTTCGGTCGCCTTTAATGATAATCTTCACTATTTTAATATAAAATCAGACGAATAAATCATTAGTTCATCAATTGGTGACATCAAAAGATGATAATAAAAATAATTACTGTTATACTGGACTCCTTTGGCAAACTTTCGCTGCAATAGCTGATCCATTGGCGACACTCCGTGCCGGAGGCCATCAATTGTGGCCGACTGTGGCAACTGATGATGACTGTTGCTTGTGTTATGAATGTTGTCATTATGAGTGACCAATCGTTTGAGTGCCGAAAACATTATCTATTGTTTGTTTGTTTCAACCACTTCTTGGTTTTTAACATGAAGTGAAAGATGAGCTAATCTTCTTCGGCCGACCGAAACATTTTTGAACCACAAATTAAAAAGTGGACTAATCTTCGGGTGTGTGTATCGGGTGATGATATCGGGTGACCAATGATGTGATGATCTAAACAACAAACAAACAAACAATCAGATGATTGAAATGTCTGACACCTATCTCTCTCTCTCTTGAGTTATAAGCGATAATAATAATAATAATAACTAACTATTGAGTGATAAATATATGATATTTTTAATACATAATAAACAGCTGTTTTGTTGACAACCAAAACACACGTAATTAGAGTGTAGTGTATGTATAGTATGTATAACACGTCAACAATGTTTGCGTAAACCAATGGATGGCAATCATTGATATTAATATTAATATTAAAATACACAATAAAAGCGCTATTTTTAAAAATAATTAATTTTTTAATTTTTATTTATTATTATTTAATAGTTGTTTATTAATTTGTTTATTAATTTAAACAAACAAACAAACACAAAAATATAAATATTGAAAAAAAATTATTAATATTTATTTGATTTATTTTTTTTCTATAAAAAAATCTTTAAACAAAAAAAAATGATAAAATATTATTAGTTTTACTAAATTTTGATTTTGAGTTTTATTGTATAAAAAAATAATAATATTTAATAATAATAATAATAATAAAAACTGTAATAACTTAATACAGTATACAATGTTATATTAAATAATATTAATAGTAATAATTTTTTTTCATAAAATTAGATAATTAGTAAAAATATTTTATTTTCTTTAAACTTGTATACCCATTATATTTTATTATTAGTAATACAGTCTAATTAGTTAATATTAGTTTATATAAACTGTGAATATATTATTTGGACACATAGTTGTTTGGGTATGTATTGCATTATACAATTTGTATATTATATTACACTTTAATAGATTTTTTGAAAACTTAAATTGAAATATATTTAAAAAAAAAAATATTTTACATACTATGAACATACAGTATGTTTTTTATTTTTGATAAAATAATATTTGTTAATGATTTTAGTAAAAATTAATTTCAATTTATTTTATTAATATTAAAACCAAATTCAACATTAGTTGAACTTTATTATTATTATTATTATTATTATTATTATTATTATTATTATTATTATTATTATTATTATTATTTCATATATATAATAGTCATCATTAAATGCAATTATGCAATGATTTTTGATAATATTTATGAGTTATGTAATAATTTATAATTCATATAATGAAACTAATGGCAAAATTTTTGTAAATTAAATAATAATTATGTAATAATTTATAATTCATATAATGAAACTAATAGCAAAATTTTTAAATTAAATAATAATTATAATATAATAAATCAATAGTTTATTGTATTAAAATATTTTTGCTTTATCTTATTTGCAATACATTGTGTTAGTATAGCATAATAATTGACGATTTTTTTAAAACAATGATTATTCAATAAAACATAGACATACGCCAACTAATTAATAAATATAACAAAAAAATAATAATTTGTTTAAAAAGCAATTTTTGTTTATTTGCTAATCAATATCTATAATAGTTATCTAAATAAATGTCAGACACAAAAAAAACAAACAAATAACATAAAAAGTCTATATATGAAAAATAGATAATAAATTCAAAATTAGTGATTATAATGATAATAATCCTAACAAATGATTTTTAAATATAGTGTAAAATCAAACCAAAACATTATGTAAATATATCAAGCATTTAGAGAGAGAGAGAGAGAGAGAGAGAGAGAGAGAGAGAGAGAGATGGATGGATGGATAGGGAAATACATTATTAATACCAATATCTACAACAATTGACAGTAATTTTCTATTATACATACAATATAATAGTATAAAAAGCCAACTGAGAGGACACACCAACAATAATGCAAATGCCATATAAAATGATATAACCATATAAACTGAATGATAAATAGACGGATGACATTCATGTGTGTAAACTAATTGAGGGACAGACAGTATGGATGCGAGAGAGAGAGAGAGAGAGAGAGAGAGAGAGAGAGAGAGAGAGAGAGAGAGGAAGTCATCTTCTCACACGTGTATACCCCAAACCATCTCTCATACAACCCATACAATCCCATCTAATAGTCATAGTCTCTATCTAACTATCTATCCGTGAATGAGATGATACCCTACAGTGTGGAGTACTATACTGTATTGTATGGTATGCTAAACCATACAATACAATACAGACAGTACAGTGGAAAGGCTGCTTTAGACAATACCCCCCGTTTACTGCGTTGTCATATGATATCTGTTTTGTGTAACCATTTTTTGAAATGCGTGTGAAATCCTGAAAGTTTTTCATTATATTTATATATATATATATATATATATATATCTATAAAACGCTTAACAATTCAACAAAAATTTGTTTGAAAGGCGTGCGTAAGGCTTTCCTCCTCTCTTTCTTTCTCTTTCACTCATCCCTGTCCTCTCTCTCTCTCTCTCTCTCTCTCTCTCTCTCTCTCTCTCTCTCTCTCTATCTATCTATCTCTCTTACTTAATACTTATACATAGTAGTAGTAATAGTAGTAAACAATATAATAGGTTAACTTTAAAATGATAATATTGTGTCTGTCATACGCCCGGGTATTAACTGTATGACAATCAATAGTACTGTATATATATAAATAATATGTGTGAACAACAATATATCGTATACCAAATATATATATATGAGTATTAACCGCAAGCGCCCACAAAACTATAGACACACTCAGACACACACACACACACACACACACACACACACACACACACACACACACACACACACACACACACACACACACCGTTAGCATAGGTCCATACCCGAGAAACTACTACTCCTACTACTATTACTACTACAGTATATCTATTTCACACTCACTTTTGCACAACAATTAGCACGTGTTTGCATTTTATTTTCAATATCAATTGGTATCACAATTGGCATTAGCATTGGTATTATAATATTACTAATTCATATCATCCCATTTCAACAATATAATGTAAATTACAATATATATACTACAGTTTGTATATTACCATACAAACAAACAATTGATTATAATTTATACACTATGTACCGGGGGTATATATATATATATACTAAATTTGTGTGAATTAATTTTTTATTTAATTTTATTTTTTGTGTGTGTGTTGTATTGTGAATCTCTCTAATAATACTCGTTTAAATATAATTTAAATAAGTAGACAATCACTGATAATACCCGTGCAAAGTGTGTGTGTGTGTGTGTGTGTGTGTGACTATATGTTTGTTTTTTGTATATATTGTTATTGAGATAAATGTAATCCCAATGTATTACAGTGATATATATAAATAGCATTTAATATTTATTAAATATTAAGACTATGTTAAATACATATATATAAATACAGTATTATTCATACATATGGTATTATGCTATGTTTTTTTAAATAGAAAAATAATAATTATTATTCATTATAATAATCATTAAATTTCGATAACATGTGATATAATTAGTAAAATTTATAATTTAGATTTATTTTTCTGGTATTATTAAAACAACATATTAGACAACAACAACAACACTGTTATAAACAATTTGCTTAAAAAAATATTAAAATACATAACTATTTTAAATATAACATTTATCACCAGGATTACTGTAAATATGATATTTATACATATAATTTAATTATTGTATAAAATAGTCGATTGATGTTAGTGTGTGTGTGTGTGTGTGTGTGTTAAGTTGTTATATAAAATTATATATATAGTAATCAGTGGATATGGGGGGTCAATGGGGTATAAAAATTACTGTTAAAGTAGTGTATAATATTTAAATAACACACACACACACACACACACACACACACTATAAAGATGACATTTAATCGTAAAAATGACAGTTAAAAAACTACATTAAGATTTATGATTATACAGGGAATACAAACAACAAAAAATATAAAACTAAACAAAACATTATACTGTATAACTTATATACATATTATTTATATACAATGCATATTTTATATATATTTATATATATATATACAAAACAAAAATACAGTATATGTATTACATGAATATTATATTCAATTATTATTTATTATATTTTTCAACAAAAAAAAATAAATAAAAGGATAAAACAGACATATTTTTGTTGTTTGTTGAAACAAAACACAGACAAACAAAACAAAAAATAATGATGTGTTGAGACATTGAGAGATGATTTAAGTGGATATATATATATAATTTATATATATATAAGCGGATAATTAGACAGTAGGTTATGTGTGTGTGTGTGTGCTGTTGTCTATCTATCTCTATAGTACTGTATATGTCCTAACAATTCATAGCTCATGTGTGTCACACAAGTTATTGCATGGAAAATGTGAGGCAAATATTATATATATATATATATATAATATACAGTATTATTGAATAGTTGAATAGCATTCCTATGGTTGTCAGTCCGGGAGAGACACTCTGACTGAGAGGACAACCCATTTATCGATCCGACTGATGGATCCAATGCCAGAGTGTCGACGATTGGATGGCTCAGCCTCTCTCTCTATGTGATGATAACTGATGAGAGAGAGAGAGAGAGAGAGAGGCATTGCCTACCAGTGCATGCTTTTGCCATACAATATATATAAAAATATATAACAAAACCTATACTAAAAATTTATATACAACATCACACACACACACACATACAGTACATACATATTGAAAATATCCACAGTTTCCCTGAAATGGTACTTTGCCTTTGAAACGCTGGGCACACACATACATGTACGGCACGGCATACATACATGAGCTCTACAAGTGAAAAGCTGGAAAATACTTTCTAAACTACAGTATATATATATGTGTGTGTTTTTAACTAATAGCCTCCAATACAGACACACTCACACACATACAATAGTACTGTACAATCATTTTATATATAATTTATTATTATATAATTAATTGATTAAAAATTAGTAGTTGTTTGATATTATATATATATATATAATTTATATGGCATTTAATCAGTGCCGGGGAGTAGTAGGAGGAGGAGGAGTAGGTAGTAGTGGTGTTGTTATTAAAAGTCATATGTGTGTTGTGTGCACCAGAAAAATGTTACTAAAAAATAATAATAATAATAATAATTACTATTATTATTGATATCATCAGTCATTAAGATTATTATTAATACTAATACTACTACTACTACTACTAATAAATTTTAAAATTTATATATCTATTTATTGTGTATATGTTTTGTGTGTGTGTTTTTTCATCAGTGACCGCAAATTTGTTTGGTTTTTTTTGTGTGGCTATTTATCTATCTATCTATTTGTTTGTGACCGCAAATTGAACCCGACCAATTAACTTAACCAAAAAACAATAAATAAATAAATAATACATAATTAATGGTAAGTAATTGAATTTGTTATTTAGCATATATTTTTTTAAAATTTTTTATTTATTTATATATAATAAGTTAATGTATTGGAAAAAAATTATTGCATTTTTTTATAAATAAATAACAAGTATATTATTATTATATATATATTTTTAACAAACAATTATATATATATATATATATATTCCTTTATATTTAGATTACTACTGTTAACTACTACTACTAATATTAATAATAATAATAATAATAATAATAATAATAATAATAATAATAATAATAATAATAATAATATAAACAATAAGCAATTTTGTTTGAATATAATCATCATATATATCATAGAATTTTGTATTGTATATTAAATTTTAAAAAATAACACAAATTTAAATAATTAAATACTATTACAAACAACAAATAATAATTATATAATTATTATAAATATCTATATTTTATACATTGATTAAACAAACATAAAACAACTCAAAGTGTTTATCAATTAATACTCTGGCGAAACAAAGCAAACGAAAGGCGCCCACGGGAGGGCAGCCAAACAATAGCCAAACTGTTGTGTTTGACATAACTGAGCAAACGGGTGGTCAGGGAGGCTGTGGTGGTGGCGGCGGCGGTGGACGTAAAAAGAGTTGTGATATCATCGACACATCAATGGATGATATCTGCGATACGACAATAAGTATGTATAATATTTTTTTAGTATATATATTATTAATATACAGTACTGTATAGTACTATATATATATATAGTAGTGATATAAAAAAAAATTTTGTACAACTTTTAGTCAAAAAAAAAAAATATTTCAATAGAGAAAACAATGTTTTTTGAATACAATGTATAGTTTAGAGTACTTATTATTAATGATAAATCAATTTATTTAACAAATAATTTAACACAAATACTTGTGTGTATGTGTGTTGACCTCATAATACAGTACACTCCGCACCTCCTATTGTGTGTGTGTGTGTGTACTGTATGTGTCTTATTGTTAAAACTATTGTAGTATTTATTATTAAACTGTATTTTCACTGTTAGTTTCTGGCGAAAAGTGTTATCAAATAATAATAATAAAAACCTAGAGATTAGTAAATCGTTTTAGTTATACTGTATATATAAAAAAAAGTGAAGTGAAGTAATTGTGTCCAAGATTTTTACAAAAAAAAAACTAAAAATAATATAATAAATATAATATCATTGTTATTAAATAATAGAGAGAGAGAGAGAGAGAGAGAGAGAGAGAGAGAGAGAGAGAGAGAGAGAGAGAGAGAGAGAGAGAGAGAGAGCGATAAAAATAGTTGTGTCACACAATAGAGATAAGTATTTGTAGCACTGGTAGTACTACCACCACTAGCAATGGGAGGGTAGGGTGTTTTGGGCGAGGGGGGGGTAGTAGTAGTAGACCAACACACAATAGATTACCTATCTATACGCACACACACAATACCCA